GGATTTTGTGAGATTTATGGGTAGAACTATGGTTGTTCTTCGCAGTGTACTTATCTACAACTTGAAATCTCTGTCGTATCTCAACTGAAGAGTTATAGCTTGGCGATTTCTGATACTCCAAGATGGTGCCGTATTGAAACAATGCCCGCATCTTCGGGCTATTTCTAGTCCAATCTGCCCTCTCTGGGAGGTCTACAATGGTAAACGCCTGTGGAGAGCCTGTAAAACCTCCGTTCAATTTTGGGTCTCCATTTTCAAAAAAGGCAACCATTACAATGAAAATGACAGAATGACATTGGGCCAAAACCTGCAGAGGATTCAAATGGAAACAGTTTCATGTCAATCTCACTTGTAAACCTCCAACCACTACTGCTGCTACCTATGCAATAGCGATGATAAAACCGAGTGAATCAGCAGGACCCAGAAATCTTTGTAGGCAGCGCGCTGTCTTCAACGGAGATGATTCAAAAGCTGACCTAGTGCATCATTTTCCGGCCTCAAATGCCCACACGAGTGGTTCGGCAACACTATAACCTCCAGACAATATCCATTCGTGGCTACCCATCCCGGAAACAGGTAAATAGCAAAACGTTATGCACTTCAAGCAGAATTAACCCACCCATTGATAAAACTTTCCGGATCCGCTTTCTGACCCCTATCTATTCTCAGACTTTTGTTTGCGCTAGAAACAAATGTTTCAAAATCTGAAAAGAGACCCTAATGCTTTCTACAAGCACAGGCCTCCGCGTTCTAGTTGGAAGGCACTCATGACCTATTTGCACGTTGATAGATTATGCTGATTTAGCATATTTTGTTTAAACTCACATCAAATTTTCTCCATCAGCTGAACCTTTTTTTAAAAGCTCAACCTCTCCTTTGCCTGCACTCTCTCAAACGTAGAATTGAAGCATCAAAGCGTTGACGCAGATAGCGCAAAGGAAGGACGGGAGCCATTCGTTTGAACCTTAAAAGGTGAACTGGCATTGGAAACATCAGTACAGAATATCAGCTGAGATGTAAAAAAGATAGTTGGATATCCCTCCTTTGTTGGAGGTACGTCGATCGGCTGCTATACCAGAGCAGACCATGTGTCGAGTTTGTGGTAGATCGCCCTCTGGTATCGTGCCCTCTTTTCCGCATGTGGAGTGCGTTGGAGAGGAATCCCTCGTTTTCGCTGGCCCGCCACGTTGTCGGAACAAATGTAGATTCAATTCTAATTTGGTGGTACAAGGAGAACCGCTGATGAATTTATGCTTTTCTTTTTGAGAGCATTCCGGTAATCATATTGTGGCTTCGGTGTGTGTGAGAGTTTCCTTGTGCTATGTTTATGGAAAAAATTAATAAGTTTGTCATTCTGTTTTTATCGAAAGATAAGGCCGAAAAATTACTTTTTGTAAGAAGTTATGGGTGGTGGTTTTTACTTAAGACATCCACACGGATGACGTCATACAATACGTAACGGATTTCGTCTTGTATAGCGTGGCGGTAAACGGGCTGTATTATTCGGTTTTTAAATGGCTTTTACTGCTTTTTTATTACATTGTTTAGTGTTTTGATTTTTGGTTTTTTATTATCCGAGTCAACGGTGTGTTACACAGTGGGTGGATAATTTTGTATATTACATAGTCTGGTTCTAGTATATAACAAACATTTGAACTTTGATCGATTAGGGGATAAAGGATAGAGTAGTCAAGGTTTCAACGATTTGAGGGAATTTGATGACTGTCACCGCAAGGGTGATGACTGTTTAGAAAGAATTTTCTTCTGTGGAGATATCCGATTTCTCTCGCTACTTAGAGGGATTCCGGAACTCCGGATTGTCGATGGTACGTTTGGAATGCCAACCGGCTGGCCTGGTTGATATGCTTTCTGTAGAGTTCAGTCTTTCAGGCGTGACCTAAGCAGTCCCTCCATTCAAGCAATTGGTGGCGGTCTTTTCATTGCCGACGAATAGTCTGGCTCCCAAACTCTAAGGCTGTCCCACTTCCGCGGATTCACGCAAAGTGGCGAGGGCGCTGCTGACCCCAAAAGCGGCAGTTCTGACTGGCAGGATATCGCGTTGCTGGAATAAAAAGAGCAGATCCGAACAACTCGTACAGTGAGGCTTCCAGGGGGTCCTTACGGTGTCATACATGGCTTTTTTCTGCTCTTTTCTTCCCTGAGATTTGTTTGACGATTACAGGGTCGCTGCTCAACGCCATAAGCCTCAAATTGCAATCGCGGGATTTGTCTTTACAGCAGGAAGGACAGCGGAATCGAAGAGGAAAACGCGGAGCTGGGCTCTTCGCCACTTCCTCGATGTTCTTGAATGCTCCCCGAGTCGCCCGCTTGTCTGAAAACAATCACAAGTAAAAAGGGCGTGAAGGCTCGAATATCGGCTAGAGTGAATGCGGGGAAAAATTTTGCAGAGATTCCCTTTATCTACCAAAAGGCTTTAATTTGTCCTCCCGTCAGCATCGAAAGAGACTGGAAAATCACTTCCGAAAGCACCCCCCAGGGCTTCTTCGAGACCCAATGGAACCACTTGTTCAAAGTCATGCAGGACTTTTCGTGCAACCTTGTGCAGTTAGAAACAAAGGCCTATTTCTGAGTTTTTTTGAATAAGATGTTTAGCGAATTGTCCTTGCACTTTCCCACTGTACTATGACTCACATAGTACATGGGGGAACTACGAGGGCAGTTCGCTAAACAAATGAGCCAAAAATAGCAACTCGATAGTCAGTTTTTACCTGGACTCTGGACAATGTCTCTTAACAAAGCTGCCGTCCTCTCGAAAACTCGTCCTCTGTTGTATACGCGAAGTGGTCGATCACTGTGCACTCGACCTTCTAACCTGGTGTGAACGAGGTTTTTTTCGGGTTTTTTTCGGTTTCCACGTGTGTTGCGTCATGTTTATTGTCATCGAAGCAGAACACGGCCAGTCACAAAGCAGCGACGATGATTCCAAGTTGTCGCTGATTATTTGTCACACGAGCCATTGAATAGAGACGACCCGTGTTCATGGCGTTTCTTCATCCATCCGTCGGCACGTAGTTATACGCAAAATTTCATCAGATCAAAGGAGTGTGGCCGAGACGGCAATGTTTCTCCTGACAAAAATGAGAAATGCTGGACATGTGGCGACTTCTGTCACTGCTCCATTTTGCGATGAGACGACATATGGGTGAAAAGGGTGGAAATTTCGAAACAATCGCTCCAAAGATCAAATACGAAATTTCAGGTAGACTCAGTAGGAGCGATTTTTGTCAACCGTGATGGCGACCTTTTCGCTCATGCGCTACAATTTATGAGAGACGGAAAACGTACTGCAATGCCACAAAATGCCGAAATCCTCCGACAATTGGTGGTAAGTTAGACTCGCACCTGGGATATTTAAATGCTTCCAGCGTTAAGTAAAGAATTCCGAGTAATGAGTATTCCAGCGCGAATCCGAATTCTTCGGCATGGATGTTTGGAATTCGGTATTGCAACAGCGATTGGCAGACGCAGAAGAACGGGAAAACAAGGTCGGTGAGGTTTGCCTGATAGCAGGTGGTTTGAAGCAACATTGCGCACCATATCATTTACTTGGAGTGGGAGGCTGGAAGGACCACGCCCAGTCCGTGTTATTTGTATGGGCAGAGACGGTCACTCTTCCTACCTTCGTTGTTTATGCTCTGCTCCTCCTTACCGTGTTGTAAGGGAGCCAGCCGTTTAGAAAGAGCTTCGGGGCAGTTTGATGATGGGGAGGGGGGCAGTTTGCACTTCACTACTTCAACCGAAGTGTCGACCCATCTAGTAAGACATTTCGTCAGCCTACAAGAATTGGCAGGTTCTACCATGGTGGCTGGACGAGACTGCTGCAGATTCACAAGCGTTCACAGGTTTAACCAGAGTGAGTCTTGTGAAGCGGATCTAGCGAAGCAGCAAAAGTATAAAATGCCCCTCCCCGTCGCTGAAGGCACAATAATCGACTGCGTCAACACGTGCTTCCAGCAGTACGGTAGAAACGGACTGTGCCCTTAGAGTCACCTTTTCTCTACTTGGTAATGCCATAGAATCAATGACCATTTCGGACAGTTTTCCACAAAATTCTCAACGAAACGGTTGGCGCAGGGACGGTAGTTGAAGGGGACCACGTGGCGTTGTGAGTACGTTACGCCATGTCTGGTTGCCTGCTATGACAACATGGTGGCACCACGGACGTCTGCAACACTTCAACCGTCGAATTAAATTCGCTTTTATTGAAAAAGAAGTCCAGTATACAGGGTAATCACTTTTGGTAACTGGGATAAGTGCCGCTCTTTCGCACAGCTTTTGATTCCACTGTCCTAGAACTGACAAGAAGAACCTTTGCCCTTGGAGGACTTTTAGCTCTGACAGCTTCCATAAAGTCATTACATACCCGTCTCTAGAAACCTGAGAGAACACTCTCCACTGATCTGGGTAAAATCACTTTTATTCAGATTTTTTTCTCGAACAAATTGTTTGAAATTATGCAGGATTTCCCTTCCACCCGAAAACTTTGACCCTTGAAGTGACAACGTCAGCTCCTGGGAGCCTCAAATAATCTTTTTCGCTCAATTTGAACGAGCCCGAGATCCTTCGCACCCATCCGATCCAGGAACTCAAAAAATTTCCTCGTGCTGCCATCAGTCAACTTCCGCAACGTTTCTTTGCCTGATGCAATGAAACCACCAATCTAGACTATTTTCAATAATGATTCCAACTGTGACCCAATAGCATCAAAATTTCAAACCCATGCGGATCGCCACTGTGACCGTCACGCGGATTTTACATGGGTTGTTCATTATTGACTACAGTTAAACATGTGATTCGTGCTATTTGGTATCTTACTGGTCATAGTCAGAGCAAGGATGAGCAGTTACATTGGAATTTGCTAGAAAACTGTTGAACTATGAGGTGACATATTGACATGAAACTGGAACGTGCACTTATAGATTCATATTACGGAGATGGAGAGGGCGCAGCCGTTTTCTTCAATTGCTTTTTCCATGGGCTATGTCTGTAAGTGACAACTGAAAGACATGTTTACAATTGTCTCAGACTGCGATATCTCCCCAGAAACTACGTTAAAGTACGCCGTAACCCACTCCGCGATACGAGGTGTACGTATTGGGCACGTGCACCTCATATCAGGATTAAAGCGGCGATAAAACGAAGTGAAGTGGTCAAAAACCTGCAAAGAAAAGCCTTAGAAAGCAATTTCGGACGAGTTTCCCGTAGGACATCTTGCCAATAACCGCTACGGTAGGTACGGCTGCATGTATGTACTCATATATCCATGCAGCACCGCGCTTCATATCAATCCCTTCGCTTCATATTGTACTTCGCAAATGAAGCAATACGAGCACCAGGCACGGTCGTTCATTTGCGGGCGCCGTGGGCTTCCGGGTCGGTATGCTGGAGCTTGATAGGGCTTTATAAGGGCACTTTCTTCAAAAAAGACGCCACGCAGCGCCTGCTCAGGGTCGCGTTCTGCCCTGCCAGGCGTGCTAATCCTACTCGTCTTAGGGATTTATCGTACCAACAGCATTTTACTGAAGGGTTTGTCCGTCATACTAAATTAATCCCAAAGAGTATCCCTTTTGCTCTTAACTCTACCATAACAGTGGAAGGGTAAAGTATTCGATAATATTGGATAGGTGAAGTGTTTGCGGTCAAATCCCGGATCACCTCCCGCTCACGCTAGCCAAGCTTCCTGCCCTCCACGGACGGTAGATTGGAACGAGATTCTTCTGACACTGATTTGTACACTCCTTATCCCTGAGATGGCGTAGGCGTGGTATTCAAAGATGTCACAGCATGGTTTACTCGTGGGATACCTCATTTTGAGACAATTGTCATCCGGCCAAGCCACATTCGAAGTACGCAGCCGCGCCTACCAATCTCGATGTCAGGAAGTTCGAGTAGACACAGACCAGCCCCCGCAGAGCAATCGCATTCAATAAGCCACCACGACTCTGAATGGGAGTACAATGCGTGACACAAGCCAGGAAAAAAAGTACGACGTCGGAGTCTCTATCCTTTTCCTGGTGTATTTATATTCTTGGTCAGTTAGCATAAGCACTTAAAGGCAGTTGGCACGATGAATCCCTTAAAGACAGCCCCCGCGATCAAAGTGGCTCGTGGTCGCCTTTGCTGTGCAAGTAGTCTAGCCTCCAAGCTAGAAGACTGTTCACCTTTCGCGACTCTATTGTGAGCGTGGAGGCTGCTATAGCCGCTCAAAGTGCTAGTTCTAACTCCTCCTCAGTCGGACCGCCTTTACTTGCTAGATGTCCTCCGACGGAGGCCACTCACTTGTTCTTAGTTGGGGCGGCGGGCATTGCTAATGCCCCTGGATAATTCTGCTCTCCTTCATTACAGTTTACTCATTGGAGGTATATACATTCAATTCAACCCATTTCGCGAGGTGAAACGCGTAAAAAACACGAGTGACGCAATTTTCGTGATGCAAAACCACGACGCACAAAAGGTGCGCTACCGTAATCACAAATTCAGACACCGTGTTGATAAAATTCCTTTTTCCTTCCCAGAGTTTTTCCTCTGCGTTTTTGTTGTTTTCTTTTTGTATTCTTTTTTTGCACTGGATGATATCAACTACTGCGAGATGTGATAGAGAGATTTGTGAGCTAGGGGCTGCACAGACCGCAGGGAGGTGTAACTGTGAGGGAGCGATTTTGTTTATGTTGTTCTGGAGAACGCTTCTTGCCTGTTTTCTTCTTTGGGAGATTACTTATCAGCTGCTGTTTCATAATTGGAAAGCAGCTATCCATGAGACTTTTATCGCGGAGCTGTCTTTAAGAACGATAGGATGAACGCCTTGGCAGTAATTGAAATTTCCGCGACCCTAAGCAGCGCTGCACACGGTTTATTCACCGAGAGAAAGGGTGCCCTCATAAGCGGCCCTATAAAGCCACATACCTCATTTGAGCCTGTCATCTAAATATCGGTCCGCCACGCCCCCGCCACAAAACGCTACACACGATTCTTTGCCTTCATACGCTGCGTATTCCACTTCACTTGCTAAAAAGCAAATTATGAAGCGAAGGCGACTATGGTATGAAGCACTAGTAGGCAAACCTAGGATGCCTGCATCATACATGCCGGATACACAATATTAACCTGCGTATCTTCAGGATTAGGCGCTGGATTGAACAATAATGCCACACAATATGGAAACTGTTTTCAAAATCACTTTCGAAATCACTGAGAACCAAGGTATATTTTTGTCTTTGCCGCAGCATTTTTGACCAGTTAATCTTTCCGTGCTTTTCCACTCTTTCCCCACACTACATCGCGGCTCCACAAGCAGTTATCTCCTTTGTAATTCCTACTAGTGCCATTTAGGCCTAAGTAGTGAACAAACCTACCATCGTTAAACAACTGCCTTTAACGGAACGCCAACCATTGACATCGAAGCAATTCCCGAACTAGCCCTTAACGCCAGCAGAAAGAAACTTGCAGAATAGTTACTTGCTTCTATCTGCATTCATAAAACCTATAGCGATTGTATTTGTCCAAGACAGCCCCAAGGCTGACCCGTTATACTTTTCGGCACGTGCGTTGCCGCTTCCCAGCGTACGCTAGCGACGCTTTGCTTTGTTCGTGCAGAGAGGATGGTACGATCTTTAGCGTTTTCCCAGCTCACCATTCTTTACTCTTACGGACTATAACACAGTGCTAGCTCTTGCAGCGCAGGGGAAGTAAGAACATTTATGTGAGCAAGCTCAAAGTTACAAAACACACTAGTGCCGCGTTCTCTCACTCGCCCGCAGTCTCCTACTAATACACATTACTACCTGCGCATTTTCCCTTCTCTCGATACTCTCCCACAGTCTAGGCACGGTTCCTACGATATCACAACATCCATGCGTTCTTGTCTCGCGTCTCTCTCTCCCATAGTCTCTACTCCCCTGCCGCTGCAAACGCCAGCAAAACGCTGGTGAAACGCTAGCGTACGCTAGCGTTACGCTGGTGACGCTGGGAACGCTAGATCGATATCCATCCTCTCCCCGGCACTGCCGCTGGCGTACGCTGGAAGCGCTACGCTACGCTGCCGCAAAGTATAAACGCAGCCTAAGCCCGCAAGCTTGCTGAGTTACGGACTTTTCTCAGCCCAGGCCTCGATCTCAGAGCACTTGCTTTTCGAGTAGTGTTTCTCATCGAATGTAGCGTCCGCATGCTACCTTGGCTGATGTGCAGCACTTTCAACAGGTTCGTGATCAGCCCGGGGTTGGACCCATTGTCCGTGGCTCAGAGCCATTGTGGTAACACTCATGATCAGCTGACAAATAAAAATGCTACTACAACCATGGTTTCATTATTGCGTCTAATAGCGGAACCGACACTTTTAATATCGGTTTCGACACAATGGTTTTTGCAGCATATCGCAGCAATCCGTTTGTAGTTTAAACTCGTAATGGATTACTTGGCAAGGGCAAGAGAGTGCTGTTTCGTAGAAACGATTGAACCCCGTGAGCAGAGAAGAGGAGCTATTCAAAGATATTAGCAGCTATAAAAAAATGGTCACAACAAGTTCCTTACAAAACGTTATAGAAGGGATAGGTAATGCTGATTACGAATGTTGTCCCAGAATTTCGAAGGTTCTATTTCAAGAAAGGTCCATTTTGGCATCCGTTAAAACAGGTCCATAAAAAGGCAAAGTCCAACTAGGCCC